GCTGATAAGGATGCTCAAGGTTCAAGAACAAGCGCATCCCACTGCACAGCAAGAACCCCCAAGAACCCCTCACTGCACAGCAAGAACCCCTCACTGCACAGCAAGAACCCCTCACTGCACAGCAAGAACCCCTCACTGCACAGCAAGAACCCCCAAGAACCCCTCACTGCACAGCAAGAACCCCCAAGAACCCCTCACTGCACAGCAAGCCCTCCCCTCTGCACAAAAAGCGCCCCCCAGTGCACAAAAAGCGCCCCCCAATGCACAAAAAGCGCCCCCCAATGCACAAAAAGCGCCCCCCAGTGCACAAAAAGCGCCCCCCAATGCACAACTAAGTGCTCCCCTCCCTACTCTGCAACAAGTACTGACCAAGCGAGTCTGCTTGTGAGACGATGGCCTGGAGAGCCAATTGCAGGCGGAAAAGTGGCACGACGTAGAAGAAGAGAGGCTTGCTGGGAGGCGCCACTGTGAGTGGAATGTCATACTGGTGGGGGGTTGGGAAGGGGAGGGGGAGGGGGAGTGGGAGGGGGGGTTAAAAAGGGGAGGGGGAAGGGGAGAGGGAGGGGGAGGGCCAGAGAGACAAGTGGTTTGTGAGTATCTCCAACGACCACCTACAAGAACAGCGGCTTGCTGGGAGGGGCCACTCTTGTGAATTGTTGTACTGCGGGGTAGGGAGTGGGGGTGTGAATGAGGGTAGAGTGGGGGTGGGGATGGGGTGGGGGTGGGAGTGGGAGAATCAAAGATTCTAGGGTATTTCTGAAGTCTCAAATGTTGCACTAGGGGGGAGGGGGGAAGGAGTCGGGAAGGTCAGGGATAGGAAAAGAGTTGGGAGTCAATTCAAGGAGCATCTGAAAGGTACACTGACCGGAATGTGGCTCGGAATGTGGCTCGGATTGTGGCTCGGAAGTGGAGTGGGGGAGGGGGAGTGGAAGGCCAGGAGCAGAAAGGGAAGTGTAGAGGAGAGGGGATTAGAAATGCAAGAGATTTCTCACATCTGGAGAGAATTGCAAGAGAGTTCTCACATCTGGAGAGAACATGTTCATAAGTGAGTACAAGGGACGAGATGGATTGTGCCGTACCAGCGCGACGGGAAGTGCCAGCACAGCGAGGCCAGCACCAATGAGCAGCCGCCGCGTGACAATGCCATCTCTCTCCTTGCCGTCAATCTCGCCGTCCCCCTCGCCGGCCTGAGCGCTCAGCAGCTCTGTCTCCGTGAATCCCCACGACCGCGCTGCTGCTCCCTTCTTGTTCCCTGCGCGGTGAGCGGCGCACATAACGACAAGCACAACGAAGGGCGAGAGGGCGTCAGGCGCCGGGGAGGGCGTGGGGAGCGAGACGGACATGAGACGAAGAGCATGGAGGAAAGATAAGAAATCGTATATCAGGAGAGAAGGAAATGGTGTGTGTGATAAGGGGGAGATGAAAGAGGAGAAAGAGTGAGAGGAGGGGAGAAACGGGAGAGAGGGGCTCGTGACTGGATATGGCAAGTACCGGTGGTGACGACGGGTCCTTCCATGATGGTTTTAGGTGTTTTTTAGAATTCTCAAAAACTCTTTAGAAGATGATTTTGCGCGCGACGGCCTAATTTTGAAGCGCCTCACAACCAGAATTGTGACTGGAGAAGGCAAGTACCAGTGACGACAACTCCTTGGAAGATGGTTGCGGGGCGATTTTGAGAAGCTTGACAGGAGAAGGCAAGTACCGGTGACGACGGGTCCTTGGAAGATGGTTTCGCGCGCGCCGGTGCCGTCGATGTACACGTCGCTATTGGGCTTCATGCGGATCAGATTATCCGCCTTCTCCAGCCGCCGCTGCTCCAATTCCAGCCGCAGCGCCGCTGCCTCCGCCTCCGCCGCCGCTAGCCTCGCTGCCAGCTCTTCCTTCTCCACATCCGTCTGTTGCTGCTGCTCCGGTTTTTCTGGCGTGACTGACGCCTGAAACGACAGAAAGAGCAGGAGGAATATGTCAATGCCACTTTCATTTGTTTGGATCAACGTGTTTGTTGTCGTTGCACTTGTTATTTGGCACTCAAGAGTACGTCAATAGAAGGTAGGCCATCTGTGCTGATTAATCTGCTCGCTGTTACATTCTCCTCTTTCAATTTTACTTCCAACAGTTTCATGTCGTCTCTTCATATTTCATACTCTTCGTTTATGTTTCCGGATGCTTGCTCATTCTCTTACCTCATCATTCGGCCCTGCTCGCACTGCCAGCAGACGACATTTGAAAGCCGAACGCTCAACAACGGCAGGTGGTCTGACGACAAATCTAGAAAAGCTGTCGGAATTCCATCGAGAAATGCGTTTGCTCCTGCATCCCTGACTAGCCACTGGTGCAATCTGCAAACGAGCGGGAGAGACGAGCCCGATCATTGTTGCAAAAGCCCAGCAGATCAGACCTAGTTTTCCGTGTCAGGCTACGGTCGTCAGAGGAACTTCACTGACGGAATTCGCAAAAAGCAGGATCTTCACTTTTGCACATAGATCATAGTAAATCGATACTACACTGCATTTGCACGTTTGCAGGGGTGGGGGTGGGGGAACCTGAAGATTGATGTGCGTGAAACTGGCCTGGAGAATGCCCAAGGTGTTTGTGGGGAAGGGGAGTCGACGTGGCTCGCTAATAGCCCATCTCAAGCCACGTGTACCGAAAGCTGGGTCAAGGCTGATGTGGCGAGTAAGTTCAGCAAAGGCATCGTCTTCGATACAAGCGGAATGCTTGAGATTTCCAGAATGCTGGATGCTGAGTACATCCGTGAATGTCAACGTAGAAATGGGGCTAGGTGAAATAGCTTTTGCATCCAATTCTCGATTTCCTCATTCAAGAAATCGAAATTTCAAATGCCTGAGCTTGGCGCGAAAGCTTCCCATTGGGGCGTGATGTTTCTACTGGTCGCCCTTTTGAGCACCCAAATGCCAGCCACACAGAAAGCTTCTCTCCTGTTTGAACATCGTCAGGCGGGACGGACGCACCTACGCGTCATTCCAAGACATGGCTGCGCCATGGCATGTCGAATCAAAGCAGGCGTGGGTGGGGGATTCCGTGCGGTGCTTGCGCGCAGATTTTATTCCGTGGCGGGTGGATGGATGGATGGTCAACCAGAGCGGGGAGGGAGGGAGGAAATGGATGTTGCTGCGGCGAATGGAGTGTTACGATTGGCTGCCTTAATGCCTCGCTGGTCGCAAGGGTCATCGAGTCATCGAGTCTAGTGGATGAAAGTGAAGTCACTTTCTCGCCGGTTGGTTGGTGGCATGGCAGGATGGTCGTTTCTCCAGCCTGTTCGCCGAAAGTGACAAACCACGGGAGGCCCCAGACTGAAACAACAAAGCGGCAGTCGCAAACGTCGCAGACGTCGCCTGAGTTACATTAGTGCTGGAGTCGCCACGAGTTCTGTGCTAGATTTCGCTAACGTCGCAGACGTCGCCAGACGTTGGTGGAGTCGCCAGGAGTTCTGTGCTAGATTTCGCTAACCTATGGGAGACGTACAGACTGAACACCACACCAACAGCAACTTTGGCGTTTGCCACAGCAGTGGCGACTGACAGCGGCTGTGACATGTGAGAGAGAGTTCGTGTTCGCCCGAAACCCAGGGAAATCGTTTACAAACTTAGTGAACCGAATGAAAATGCAGAACATCTTGTCACACGCCATGGACTGCTCATGGTCGTAATGAACAGTTCGGAGCTACGGGGATTTCCGTACCTTGTGTCACCATGCCTTCGTCAACCGCGCTGCCTGGAATGTTTCGTCCAAGTCTCCTCCGCTTGCACTTTACCTTCCAAGCAATCCGCCATTCCCCTTCCCCGCAAGAAATGGGTTGCGGGACGCGTCCGCTTCAAGGAAGCTCACCTGCCGCCATGCCACTCCCCGCATGGCATCACTCCGCTGGTTAGCTCTCTTCTTGAATGGCGGACCTGACCTGATGTTCGCAGTTTCAGCCATTAATTCTTTCAGCTAGGGTTGTTTGGACATATGGGAAGCGAGACTCACGAGGCTCACAGAAGCCCCGCAGCTTCTTTAAACTCCTTGCTGGGGCTTTCTTGTTCTCACAGCCATCCTGCTGCTAATTCGGCTGAAGCTAATGTCGTGCTGAAGCGCTGTTCTATCCCAGGCCAATTAACCAACAGCAGCACGGTTACAGTTAATAATAAGAATCTTGCCGGTAATAACCTGAATACGGCATTATATCCGCGCTCTAAGAGCAGTCTGTCTAGAATAGACGACGGGTCATTATCCCCTGGTGCTCGGCAACTGGCGGGTTTATTTCTAGCGTCCATTCTTAAGCGCACCTGCGCGCGAACGAGGGGGTGGCGCGCAAGCCTCGGCCAACGTAAGAGCAGTCGAGCGGAGAAGCTTCGGTCGTGCCTTTCTCAAACCGGAGTTAACGTGATACGGAAGACTTTCGTCGCATCTCCGCCGGAATCTTCGAGACGCTCCAAGGGGAAGCGTTTAGTCAGCGGCGTCATCAAAACGAAGTCCGTTCGACATAAGCTCTCTCCGTCTGCTTTTCGCATTATCGATTCTTCCGTCTCGGCTGACGGCGCTGTCGCTGTCGCCGTCGCTCCAGCAGCAATGGCTCCCGCGTTTCGAGCAACGGAAGGTTCGGCGAACGTCCCGACGGAACCTCGCCGCGCAGGAGTTAAGGCTAATGCGTTCGAAAAGCCGGCGACTGCGGAAGCCGTGAGCAGCGCGAACCGTTCTGACAGGCTCCAAGCTGCTTCAGCGAACGGTCCTGGTTCTAAATGTAGTAGACTCCTAGCGCCTGCTGCCGGTGCCGGTGCTGCCGTTTCCTCGGGCATGGTCGTCGAAGCTTCAGAAGTACGAACATCCGGGGTACGCTCGAGATTCTGCGTGATTTTGTTCGCAGTTCTGTGCTCTTGCCTCTGCTGAAGTCGTTATTCGGTGGTTGCTGTGTTTCTCTCGGCATCTTGGTTCAGTTCGCGTCGTTCTTAGTTCTTTCTTCGAACTCGGGTGTTCTTTTATGTTCGGCATTTCTTGATATGCAGACTGCGGTTCTTAACGACACGTGTCCCTCGCGGATAAACTCCGAGCTGGCTGCGTGTGACGTGGCTGCGAGAGTGGTGGAACATGCTGACGTGGTAGCTGAGCTGGATGGGAACGGACACAACCACGAGCACCCGCGATGTTCGCCAGTGCTTCGTCGCAAACCGATGGAAGTGCCTTCGAAGACGGTTCGCCAGCTCTTCGCAACGGGCAAGATTAATTACACGGGATTGGACGAAGTAAACTCCGAGGACGGCGTGAGGGACACGTGGACCGAGTCTCTGGAGCCTGAATCCCAGTTTTCCGATATGAATGTGCTTATGTCGAGCGGCCTTGATGGAATCACGTTCGATTCGTCGATCGCAGAGTGTGCTGGACAAGGGGATGACTCATCTGACGTGAAAGGGGGAGAGAAGGGCGAAGAGGACAAGGGAGGGGAAGAGGAGGGATTGGAAGAGTTTGAAGAGGAAATAGAATTGGAAATTGAGGAAGAGGAGGTGGAGGAAGAGGAGCAGGTAGGAGAGAAGGCCGAAGGCAAGGAGCAAGAAGAAAGCGACAGTGATGAGGATGAGGATGAGAGTGAGGATGAGGATGAGGATGAAGGGGAGGAGGAGGAGGGAGATGGGGAGGAGAGTGGAAATGAGGGTGAGGAGGATGAGGATTTGGAGGAGGAAGAAGAGCAAATGGAGGATGGGTATTCGATTGTTCTGAAGGTTGGTCAGGTTATGTTGCCATGCAAGGTGAGGTACGAAAACGAGGAGATAGTTCAGATCGTTGAAGCAGTGGACGATTCGGAGATAGTGGAGGTGGTTGATGACGTGGCGGATTACGATGACGTGGCAGTCAATGACGTGGATAAGCATGAGGACTGCCAAGGGCACGTGCGAACCTGCACTTCTCTTCGTGTGGGCAATGACGATCCTCCACGTGTCCTCTCCCTGTCCATGGATAATCCTTCCCCTCCCGCCCCTTCCTCGCCCACCTCTCCTCTCCACTATCCGCCCATCTCCCACTCTCCGCCTCCCACCGAGTCTCTAGAGCAATTGCTCACACCCCCCACCATCCCCACTGCTCCGTTCCCACCCCCTCCTAAGAGCATCCTCAAGCCCTCGTTTGTGGAACGCTGCAGTAAAGCAGCCTTCACGTGCAAGGCCACGAGTGGCAACGGCATGGAAAGCACAGGTCGGAAGCGGCAGCGGGATGGGAGCGAGAGTGGCAGTACTTGTGGTGGGAGGAAGGAGGCGCAGGGAGGAGTGGAGGGAGCAGGGGCGTTCGCGGAGGCGAGGGGGGTGCGGCCGACAGCTCGGGAACGAGTGGCGAGGCAGATGGAGGTGGCAGAGGCGGCAGTGAGAATGCTTGTGGAGAGATGCAAGGTAAGGAGGGATGATAGCTGGGAGGGGATGGGAGGCTGGGGAGGTGGGAGTAGAGGGTAGAGGGATCGAGGGAATCACATTGGGGTGAGGGATGCGAGGACATGCAACAATCTCTTTGTGTTTTTGAAGTATTGCCATGTGCCATGCATGAATGTACCCATCTGCTGGAACCCTCTTTGTGTGGTGTTTATGCAGGGTGCGAATTTAGTGGATGTTTCACATGGCCACGGAGTGTCTCCTGTGCCGTCCTCATTGGCAGATGATGCCTTGCACCAAATGGAGCAGCTGCGCCATGCAGTCTTGGACATAACCAAGGTACGCTGACTCATTATCCCGTTCTCTCTACGCCGATGGTAATGACATTCAGACCGTCGCTTCCATCACCTGTACTTTGTATTCACTAGTTCTATGTTGTCGAGGCATTTGATTAAATGTGGTTGCCTCCCTTGCTGAAGCCGTTTTTCAATTCCTCTCTGCACTCCCGTTTCCCATCGATTACCCCTCTCAGCCGCGCAAGCGCCTTCGATTTGCCGATGAGCTTGGGGAGGAGCTGAACCATATTCGTTTCATTCAACCCAGAAGGTGATCAAGGAGGCTACTGGACTGGGCATCTGTGTGCACAGTGCCCCACTTCTCTGTCTTGCATGATGGCTTTTCCCAGTTTTTATATCTAGAGGATGCTTTGTGGCCTTTTGCATTGCAGCCAATAAGAGTGCTGCCAGCAGGTGTGTTAACGATGATTGTGGGACAAGTCAAGTTTCTGCCTGCAACTCTATATTGGGAAAGCGCGCGGAGCAGATATAGAATGATTGAAATCAGCCGGTGTATTAGTTTATGAGTAGAGGTTGGTGTTCAACACCGAAGTCCTGATAAAAAAGCTCTACGTTTATTGAACTTATCGAGGTCAATTGCCACCGATCTTACCGAAGCGTCACGGAGCTGGACCCAAGCTGCACGCAACTGTCTCTCCATCACCACTGGCTCGCAAACAGGCAATTCCTGGTACACTTCCATCGAGAATGTCGGATTTGACGTCCTCATCACACCTAAAACCTGCCTCAAGGAGGTGTGACAAAACCGGTGCCCGAACTAGCACAGCCAAACAGCCATTCCTCGGCCCATCTCTGTTTCTCCAGTTCATTACAATTTTCAATCCACCTCGCATCGCTAGTTTCGTCCTATCACCTAGTTTCCAAATCCACCTTAGGAGTTACCGCACGGGTGGCTGGTACCTTCTATAGATACCGTGATAGCGGGCATATATCCATGGTGCACTGATTTTCTTTCGCAAGGTGAATCTCGCACAGCAATCAGACGTCACGTGGTACCATGGATTCCAGCCAATCGCAGCGTGCTGCACATGCGTCCGTGACGGACCCATTCTTCGATCTGCTCCAGCCGTCCAGCGCAGTCTCTAAGCCCGCGCTTGCCGCCAACGCGTCGTCCGCGCTCACCAGCGGATCTCCGCCGTCCAACGACCCCGCGCTGCCGTTCGTCCGCTCACTCAGTCCCCCCGCCGAGTCGGCTTTCGCAGGCTCCACGTCTCGCGGTGGCATGACAAGCTCGTTCCACGAATCTGACAAGCATGGGAACAATACTGGCGGTGGTGGGAATATTGGTGGTCTTGGCGCTGGCTTGTCTGAGCTTGCTGCTGCTGGTGGTGGTGGTGGTGGTGGCTCGTCTTTCAATTTCCTCAGCTCGCAGGTGTGTCTACGCTGATTTCTGATCGCTCCTTCACTCCCTTATTGTTTTGGGCCTCATTAGGAATGTTCGACATTTTTGCAGTTTTGACATCTAGATTGAAATTTGTCTGTTTGCTTTTCAAACTCCTCACGCCATAGCGCAAGGGGAGAACTCTTATCTTCCGCCTATGTCCTTCGCGTGGTGCTCCTTGTTGTTTTTTGAGAACAATCCTCAAGAACCAAGTATTCTCCAATCACGATCCATCCGTTGCGCCTCCCATCTTCTGTCTCTGTCCCTCCGCGTGGTGCCCCTCTCTCCCTCCCATCTTTTCACGTGACCCACACCCGCTCCCCTATTTCCCCTAGCAACCAGAGGTTAGCTCACCCGCCGACTCCCTTCACCCCTTTCCTCCCCGCTTCCCTTTTTTCCTGCCGACCAGGGCCCAACCCACTCCCAGCCACAGCACCCCTCCCCCCCTCATCCATCCTTTTCCACTGGAGACGGGGGCATGGGCGGCGGCGGAATGGGGGGTGCTAACCTGGGGGGAGGGGCCAGCATGGGGGGGGGAGCAGGTGGCGCGGGAGGCGCGGGTGGCGCGGGGATGCGCGCAGCAGCAGCGGCGCGCGCGCCAGCGACAGCAGGGGACGTGGCGCAAGTGGCAGCGGAGGTGACGTCCGCCATGGAGCGCCTGCTGCACCGCTTCTCCGAGGGCGTTTCTGCAGCACTGGGGGACGCGAGCAGCAGGGTGAGGCGCGTGGAGGCGGCGGTGGCGGCTCTGCAGGGGGCTGTGGACCGTGCTGCTGGGGATGACGGGGAGAGGCACGCTGAACTGGATGGGAGGCTGCGATCCGTGGAGAATGTGCTTCTAGAGGTGAGTGATTGTAGTGAGAGGGTCCTGAAACAACAGATGCAGCAAGGAGTGATGCGAGCAGCAGGGGGAGGCGGCGGTGGCGGCGCTGCAGGGCGCTGTGGACCGTGCTGCGGGGGATGAGGGCGAGCGGCACGCTGAGCTGGATGGGCGGTTGCGATCTGTAGAGAACGTGCTTCTTGAGGTGAGTGATTGTACTGAGATTTTATTAAGCAGCCAGCCAAGGTGAGATCGTGCTGCTAAAAGTGTGCGAAGGCTCGGAGTGATGCGAGTGATGCAAGTCACTCAGCTCGGAGTGACTCAGGGTGCAAGCTGTGTTCTGCCTTCCTGAGTCGCTGAACCCCTTCCTTTCCTTTCCCTTCCTGCTTGTTCCCCCCTGCCTGGTCCGTCTGCCTACCTCCCTGCCTGCCTGTCCACCCTGCCCCCTGCTCCTCCCCCCCCCTGCATGCACCACCCTGCCCTCATTTCGCGTGCCCCCCACCAGGTGCAGCGCAACCTGCAGGTGATGAGGGACAAGCAGGAGCTCGCAGAGGCACAGGCGGAGCTCTCTAAGCTCAAGTTCCTCGCCCTCCCCGCCCCCCCCTCCGCCTCCTCCGCTTCCTCCGCTGCTGCTGCCCCACCACCGCCACCACCAGCTGCTGCTGTTCCACCAGTGGTCGAACCAGCAGCAGCAGCGGCAGCTCCTGTCCCCTCCGCGCCGCCTGAAGCCTCTGCCCCCCCTCCTTCCCCCAGCCCCTCCCCCAACCCCCTGCCCCTGCTCCTCCCCCTGCTCAGTACCAGGCACCAGCACCACCACAGCAGGAGCAGCAGCAGCAGCCGCAGCAGCACACCATGCTGCCTCCTGCTTCCATGTACCCCCAGCAGCAACAGCAACAGCAGCAGCCTCAGCAGCAGCAGCAACAGCAACAGCAGCAGCCTCAGCAGCAGCAGCAACAGCCACCGCAGCAGCAGCAACAGCCCTATGCCGCTCCTCCCCCACCTGCTCCTGCTGCTCCACCTCCGTATGCGCAGCAGCAAGGGGGATATAACATGCAGCCTCAGGGGCCTACGGCACAGCACATGAACATGCCGCAACAGCAGCAGCAGCAGCTGGCGCTGCCACCACCACCACCCCAGCAGCAGCAACAGCAGCAGCAGCCGCAGCAGCAGCAGCAGCCGCAGCAGCAGCAGGGCGGGCAGCAGATGTACCAGGCACCACCACCACCGTCCATGGCACAGCAACCCCCTCCGCCTTACCCTCCCCAGCAGCAGCCCGCTCCTCCCCCTGCTGCCTCCGCCCCTGCTCCCCCGCCATACGGCTCCATGCCCCCCCCGCAAGGCATGTACGACCCTGCTGCTGCTGCCAGCGCTGCTGCCTCTGCTGCTGTCGCTGCTGCTGCAGGCGGAATGTATTACCAGCAGAACGCCCCTCCCTCTCCCATGCCCCAGGCACAGATGCCCCCGCCTCAGATGCCCCCTCAGGTGCCCCCTCAAATGCATTCTCAGATGCCACCTCCACCAGGTGTTCCCATCCAGGCACAGCAAGCGCAGCAACCCCCCCAGCAGTACATGCAAGGGCAAGGGCAATCCCCGCCCTACCCACCTCCCCCGCCTGGTTATGGCGCCCCCACTCCCCCTCCCCCTGCACACCCCTCCCCCCAGCCCCAGGGTATGTATCGGGTGGCCCAGCCTCCCCCCCCGTCCATCCCCCCTACTGCCGGCCCCCCTAGTGGATACAGACGCTTACCCATGGCACAGCCTGTGAGCGGCGGTGGTGGGGGAGGGGGAGGTGGGAGCGGAGGGGGCAGGGGCGGAGGAGGGGGAGGGGGGGGTGGTGGGGGTGATACAGCAAGAGTGCCTCTAGAGAAGGTGGTTGATGACGTGGCAGCAATGGGATTCCCAAGGGATAAGGTGCGCATGGTGGTGCAGAGGCTTATGGAGAGAGGCAAGTCGGTTGATCTGAATGCTGTGATTGATGAGGTGATGAATGGTGGGGGTGGGGGCGGGGGCGGAGGAGGATGGTACGGGCGGTGAGACAGGGGAGGAAGTGTGAGAGGGAGGAACCATGGTGGTGCAGCGGTTGATGGAGAGAGGCAATTCAATTGATCTGAATGCTGTGATCGATGAGGTGATGAACGGAAAGGGGCGGGGGCGAGGGGGGAGGGGGGGAAGGAGAGGGGGGGGATGGTATGGGCGGTGTGTGGGGGGAGGAAGTGGGAGAGGGAGGAACCATGCTGATGGGTCATGGAGAGGGGGGCAAGTCAGGGTCTTTGATTGAATGCGCGTGTAGTGACTCACTACAGAGGGGGGCAAGTCAGGGTCTTTGATTGAATGCGGTGATAGATGAGGTGATGCGTGGATGGGGAGGGGTATGGGTGATGGTACGGTTGGTGCAGATGTGAGTGGGATTGTGGAAGGTGATGGGGTGGGGATGAAGCTGTTGCTGATTTTTACAGATGGGAGGGAGAGGAGAGTGCTTGTGTGTGAATATTGGGGTGGGTGAAGTGGTTGTGATGGTAAGATCGGTGTGTGTGTTGAGGTTGTTAAGCTCTTGTTGTGCCGGACACACCATACTCGCTGTAGACGTAGTGATAAGACTATGATTGCTATCTTTTGCTGTCCATATACGTAACCACGGCTTTTAAATCTGATGCATGCAGCATGCGTTTATCTGTTCCTATGGATTTGCGGTGTCACCTGTAAAAGCAGCTGTGATAGAAGCACTTCATGTGGCACCCAGCATTGAAGCGAATGTGACACTTTGTCGTTGCCAATATATATCAATAGACAACTCATACAAATTATTGTACATGCCATTCCAAGACAGAACGTACTGCATGCCTCACTTACCGTAGCTTTTACGCACAACTGCTTATCCGCAGTGGGCTTATATCCCCTAAAGCAATCACAAGATGGGTTCCTACCACCACCAAACCAGCAGTACCCCTTCCCACCGCATGTGTTTGTATCCGCGTTACAAAACCGCTTACACACATGCGTAGGCACTTGCACCTGCACAAGCCCCGCCTTTTCACATGGGCTCCCTGCAGGATAAGTGAGGCAGTTCTTAGCGAGTGAAGACTCAAAGAATACCCCCGTGTATGTGTGGTTGACGGGGCAGAAGGACTTTCCTCCTGCGGTTACCACAGCCGGGCCGTTGAAAAAGTTGTTGCGCAGGTTGTACTGGCCGTAATCGATGAAACGCGTGCTGGGGAGTGGGCCTGTCAACATGTTGTCGTGCAGGTTGCTGGGGAGAGGAGAAGGGAGGGGAGGGACACAGAATGATTGTTTTGAAGTCTCAAACAGGCCGAACTGAATGAAGCGAGCATTGGGGAGCATTTAGGACCAATTTTGGGGATTTTACCGAAATCGACACAAGAAGCACCTCGGGCACTTAGAGCACCTGGATTCGACTCTAGGTTGCTTGCACCTGGGACTCACAGGTAGCTGAGCTTGGGCAGAGAGGAAATGCCCTTAGGGAACGTGCCGTAGAGGAAATTGCGCTCCAGGTAGCTGGGGGGAGAGGGGTCAGGGGGGAGAGGGGGGAGAGGGGGAGAGGGAGAGAGGAGGAGAGGGGGGTAGGGGGGAGAGGGGTGGCGGGGAGAAAAGAATGTGTGCAGGCAGAATGGGGAACGGGAAAGGGCGCGAGTGAGAGTAGGGGAGAGGATTGATATGGGGGTTTGCCATGCGGCCATGCATGTATGTGCCATGCAAAAAGAGTCGCTTACAGGATGGTGATGTCTGTGAGTCTGCTGAGATTCTCCGGCACTATGCCCCGAAAGTAGTTATTGTCTAGCAAGCTGGGGACGGAGGGAGGTGGGGTGGGGGAGAGACGGGAGGGTGGAGTGGGGAGGTATATAGGGGGAAACGAAAGGAAGAGGTTGATTAACTAAGAGTGGGAAGAGGTTGATTAACTAAGAGTGGGAAGAGGTTGATTAACTAAGAGTGGGAAGAGGTTGATTAACTAAGAGTGGGAAGAGGTTGATTAACTAAGAGTGGGAAGAGGTTGATTAACTAAGAGTGGGAAGAGGTTGATTAACTAAGAGTGGGAAGAGGTTGATTAACTAAGAGTGGGAAGAGGTTGATTAACTAAGAGTGGGAAGAGGTTGATTAACTAAGAGTGGGAAGAGGTTGATTAACTAAGAGTGGGAAGAGGTTGATTAACTAAGAGTGGGAAGAGGTTGATTAACTAAGAGTGGGAAGAGGTTGATTAACTAAGAGTGGGAAGAGGTTGATTAACTAAGAGTGGGAAGAGGTTGATTAACTAAGAGTGGGAAGAGGTTGATTAACTAAGAGTGGGAAGAGGTTGATTAACTAAGAGTGGGAAGAGGTTGATTAACTAAGAGTGGGAAGAGGTTGATTAACTAAGAGTGGGAAGAGGTTGATTAACTAAGAGTGGGAAGAGGTTGATTAACTAAGAGTGGGAAGAGGTTGATTAACTAAGAGTGGGAAGAGGTTGATTAACTAAGAGTGGGAAGAGGTTGGAAGTGCCGCATAACTGTGATATCGTTTCCTCATCGACTCGAAGAAAACACCTGAAAATTACTCGAGGCACCACAACAAGGAAAAAGGAGGGGTAAAGCACAGTTATGCGGCACTCGCTGCAAGCGAATGGCGAAGGGTCTTACACTCGCTGCAAGCGCGTGAGGCGGGTGATGGATGGTGGGATGGGACCGGAGAAGTTGCAATACTCCATCACCCTGATAGGCATGCACGGGGAGGGGCGGACGTGGTTGGACAGGGTGCACAGGGGTGGGCAGGGATGGGTAGGGATGGGCAAGGAGAGGAGAAGGGGGGGATGAGGAGCAGAGGCAGGAGGGTTTGGGAGGAAGGGATGGTGGGACGGGATGGAGGAATTAGGAGGCAGGGGCGTTAGGGGGTTGTTTGTAGGTGGGAGAGGTGGGGGGGGGAGAGTGATGGGGAGAAATGACTGGAGAAGCGTATGAGTGGAGAGCGGAGTGCGATTAACATATAAAGCACAGACAGCACTCCCACCACTCCCCAGCACTCACAGGTCTGTGAGGCCAACCATGTTGCCCAGATTGCGCGGCAGCCTGCCAGTCAGCTTCGGATTGCTGCTCATGAATCTGATGGGGTGATGGGGGCAGCACGCGACGGGAAGAGGGGCGCAGGGAGGAAGAGAGGTTATGGATTGCTGCTCATGAATCTGAATCGACAAGGAAGAACAGGAGTGTGAGGGGGGGAGGGTGGAGAGGATTGGCTCGGCTCTTGAAGCCGAGGTTATGAAATTCGGAGGAGTGAGAGTGGTGCTTTTAGAGAGCATGAGAGGATGTGAGCATGAGAGCATGAGAGGATGAGAGCATGAGAGCATGAGAGGATGAGAGCATGAGAGCATGAGAGCATGAGAGGATGAGAGCATGAGAGCATGAGAGCATGAGAGGATGAGAGCATGAGAGGATGAGAGCATGAGAGGATGAGAGGATGAGAGCATGAGAGCATGAGAGCATGAGAGCATGAGAGCATGAGAGCATGAGAGCATGAGAGCATGAGAGCATGAGAGCATGAGAGCATGAGAGGATGAGAGCATGAGAGCATGAGAGCATGAGAGCATGAGAGCATGAGAGCATGAGAGCATGAGAGCATGAGAGGATGAGAGCATGAGAGCATGAGAGCATGAGAGCATGAGAGCATGAGAGGATGAGAGCATGAGAGCATGAGAGCATGAGAGCATGAGAGCATGAGAGCATGAGAGCATGAGAGCATGAGAGGATGAGAGCATGAGAGGATGAGAGCATGAGAGCATGAGAGCATGAGAGCATGAGAGGATGAGAGCATGAGAGCATGAGAGCATGAGAGCATGAGAGCATGAGAGCATGAGAGGATGAGAGCATGAGAGGATGAGAGCATGAGAGCATGAGAGCATGAGAGCATGAGAGCATGAGAGCATGAGAGCACATACAGCATGAGAGCATGAGAGCATGAGAGCACATACAGCATGAGAGCACATACAGCATGAGAGCACATACAGCATGAGAGCATGAGAGCACATACAGCATGAGAGCACATACAGCATGAGAGCACATACAGCATGAGAGCACATACAGGATACGCAGATTTCTAAGTCGGGTGATGGTGGCGGGGAGAGGGCCGGCAATGCTGTTTTGGTTTATAAACCTGTGATGAATGGAAGTGGGGGGCGAGAGGGGGAGAGGGAAGAGGTGAGGAAGGTGAGAGGCTGGATAGGGAGGGGTAGAAGGGGGCTGAGAGGAGTGAGAGGAGTGCGTTGCTTGCAAGCAGTGGGCAGGAAGTTGGGCGAAGGAGTTCAGAGGAGTGAAGAGCGGTGCCTCACAGGTTCTGCAGGTTGGTCATCGTGCCAATGGAAGCGGGCAGCCTTCCTGTGAACTTGTTGGTGTCCACGTACCTGGTGGGGAGAGGGGGGTAAGAAAGGATGCATGGGCGGGGGGGGGGGAATGGAGGGGCGTGCATGGGGCGCGGACATATGAGGGTGACGATTGAGTAGACAATATACATGTATATGTATATGTATATGTATATGTATATGTATATGTATATGTATATGTACATGTACATGTACATGTACATGTACATGTATATGTATATGTACATGTACATGTATATGTATATGTACATGTATATGTATATGTATATGTATATGCATATGTATATGTATATGTATATGTAATATATATATATATATAATATATTTCAGCCAACTTGTTGAGCAGCTTATATTTTTTTTTTTACTTTAGTCGCTCACTCACATGTAGTAGAGCAGTTTGAGTCGGCTGATGCAGGGGGGAATGGTACCCTCAAAGTGGTTCCCGCTGATTCGCCTGAGACGTGTAGAGGGGAGGGTTGGCGGAGCGAGGGGAGAGCAAGAGGAAGGGGGGGAGGGGGAGGGGAGGGTAATAAGCCACTGCAGCGGCTGATGCAGGGGGGAATGGTGCCCTCAAAGTGGTTCCTGCTGATGCGCCTGGGACATGCAAAGGGGAGGGGGTTGGGGGGATGGGGGGAAGAGATGCAGGGGACTAGGGGCAGGGGAAGAGGAAGGAGTTGGGGGTGCGTGGGGATGAGGAGAGGGGCAGGAAAAGGAAGAGTGGGCAGGCGGGGGGAGGAGGTGAGAAGTGGTTGATCACATGAATGAAGCAGAGGATGGCCTTCAGCCATGTGGACTCTCTGAACAGCACGTTCATAGAAAACCCCCCAGCACTCACAGCTCTCGCCGCACTCACAGCTCTCGCCGCACTCACAGCTCTCGCCACACTCGCAACTCTCGCCGCACTCACAGCTCTCGGAGCGTGGTCATGGTGCAGATGACGCTGGGGAAGGTGCCGGATAGGAGGTTGGACGACACGAAGCTGGGGAGGAGAGGAGTGGGGGAGGAGAAGCATGGGGGAGGAGAAGAATGGGAGAGAGGTGAGGAAGCGGGAAGAAGGAGGAGGGGGGAAGAGAAATGGGGGGAGGAGAAGCATTGGGGGTCATAACAGAGGGCATGAGGGGAAATCAGATGAGCCGTGCGGAAGGGTCTGTTTCTTAAGTGAACGGGGGAAAGGACAGGTAGAGAGTCTTAGAGGCTAGCGTGGCTCACAGGCGGTAGAGGTTGGTGAGTTGAGAGAAGGTGTTTGGTATACCGCCCTTGAAGTAGTTGATGTTTAGATGCCTGCTCGGGGATATGCGGGTGAGGGGAGATGAGGTGTGAAAGCGAGTGGAGGAGGCAGAGAGGGTCAGAGCTGGGGGTGTTTGGTATACCGCCTTTGTAGTTGATGTTTAGATGCCTGCATGGGGATACGCGGGCATGAGATGAGAGAGAGGGGAGGAGGTAGGCAGAAGGGATCACAGCTGGGGTTGCTTGAGATACCACCCTTGAAATAGTTGATGTTGAGATGCCTACATGGGGATATGCGGACATGAGATGAGAGAGGGAGATGGGGCCACTTGAGAAAGGAGGCAGGGAGTACCTGGAGGCAGAGAGAAGGGCCATTTAGAGCTCTAAACAGAGAGAGAGGGGCTACAGAGGAAGAAGGAAGAGGGGATAGGGGGCGAGGAGGATAAAGAAAGGAATGAGGGCTTACGGCTGGTAGAGGAAGGGGAAGGAAGGGGAATAAGAGGAGAGAGGAGGGGAGATGGAGGGAGGGAGGGGCGCACAGCTGGTAGAGGTTGCGCAGGTTGCCGAGGCCAGGCGGAATGGTGTGGTTGAAGTAGTTGCTCCATACTTGCCTGTACTCACTCACCCGGGGAGCACACATACAAGGCGGAGGGGGGAGAGGGGGAAGGTCACACAGCTGGTAAAGGCTGCGCAGGTTGCCAAGGCCGGGCGGAATGGTGTGGTTGAAGTAGTTGCTCCATAGTTGCCTGCACTCACTCACCCGGGGAGCATACGTACATCTCATACATGCAGGCCGTGGGTTAAGTGCGGTGGGGCGTGGTGGCAACTACTGCTGCATTTCCAGTTTACTGCTGCGCTGCTATGGATATTTTGTTACTGCAGCTCTACGAAAATTATCGCTGTTACTGCACTGTGCGCTCACAGGTTCTGCAGCCAATTTTTTAGTCGACTCAAAACACGACTCTAAAATAGACTCATCACTTCTAGAATGATCGCTGTTACTGCACTCTGCGCTCACAGGTTCTGCAGGCGACTTTTGAGGCGCCTCAAAAGCTGCACTGTGCGCTCACAGGTTCTGCAGCCTATTTTTGAGTCGACTCTGAAATAGACTCATCACTTCTAGAATGATTGTTGCACTGTGCGCTCACAGGTTCTGCAGGCGACTTTTGAGTCGAGTCAAAAAAAGAAAAGACTTATCACTTCCAAAATGATTGTTGCTACTGCACTGTGCGCTCACAGGTTCTGCAGGCGAACGAGCTTAGAGAGGTTGTTGGGAAACTCGTGGGTGAACCAGTTCTTGGTAATGAGCCTGCCAGTAACGGGGATACGGGCCACGGGGGTTAAGAGGGAAAAAAAGAGCAATGTTTGAACCACTATTGATCCCTGCACGTGCTGCACAAGGGGAAGGCGAAGGTGAGTAAGGAGTTGCCAGAGATTCTGTGTTCCTAGTAGCAGTGAAAGAGGGATGCTGCTAGGAATACAGGCCGAACTCGTTGGAGAGGTGAGCAGAAGTCACCTGAGTTGCTAGAGATGCTGCTAGTAAAAGAAGGATGCGGCTAGGAAAACAGGCGGAGATAGTTGGAGGCGTGAACAGAAGGCGATAGAAATCAAAGAGAGTAAGAGCTTTTGCAAAGGGCACAGTGGGACTGACAGCTCTTCCAGCGTGGTGAGGTCGCCGATGATCCCCGGCAGACTGGCGCGTAGGCCCAGCAGCAGGGAGTAGGAACTCAGTACACAAGGCGATAGAGAATGAGAATGAGAGCGAGAGCAGGGCGGAAGGTGACAAAGGGCACAGTGGGACTGACAGCTCTTCCAGCGTGGTGAGGTCGCCGATGATCCCCGACAGACTGCCTCGCAGACCCATCCCGCTCATCTCCATGCGCCTGTTGGTGGCGTGGGGCGTGGGGCAGGGGTGGGGTGGGGCAGGGGTAGGGTGTGGGGCATTGGGCGTGGGGCGTGGGGGGTATTGAGGGGGCCGTGAGGTCGCCGATGATGCCCGGCAGACTGCCTTGCAGACCCATCCCGCTCATCTCCATGCGCCTGTTGGTGGCACGGAGCGTGGGGCGAGGGGCGAAGGGCGGGGGGCGTGGGGCGTGAGACGTGGAGCGTGGGGCGTGGGGCGTGGAGCGTGGGGCGCGGGGTAAATCACATGTGACCGCAGACAGACGGAGGCAAGCACAAACACACAGGGGCAGTGTAAAAGGCGCAACTGAGGGGGCAAGCCGAAGGGGTAGTGCCAAGGTGCAGCTTGCAAAGTTGCAAGTGGTGATCTGAAGTGATGACAAATGCCGAAGTGGTAATGGACGGACGGGATGCGTTCATCTACAGACACGGAATCAACGGACCTGATGGTGCCATCTGTCCAGCATCTGATCCGCGTCCACAGATTGCACGGCTTGGATCCGTCTCACGAGCTCAGGTCCGCGTACTTGGACCACGTGTTCTTGAGAGACATCATCACGGGCACTGGGGGGGGGGGGTTGGGGGGGCGGGGAGAGGGGCGGAAGAGGGGGAGGGGGTAGGGGTGGAGTATTGAGGGGTCCGCGTACGGCAACCACGTGGCCTTGAGTGACATCGTCACGGGCACTGGGGGCAAAGAGGCGAGGGAGTGGGGACAGGTGTGGGGGATGAGGGGGGATGAGGGGGGATGAGGGGTCCGCGTACGGCGACCACGTGGCCTTGAGTGACATCGTCACGGGCACTGGGGGCAAAGAGGGGAGGGGTAGGGATAGGTGTGGGGAGATGAGGGGTTTGTGTACAGCGACCACGTGGCCTTGAGATTCATCATCACGGGCACTGGGGGGCGTTGGAAGAAGGTTGGGGAAGAGGGAATGACTTGAGAGGGGCGAGAAGTAACGGGAGGAGCGAGGAGAGCGGCGGAGGAGCGAGGTGAAGAGCGTAGCAATGAGCGTAACAGCGCGGCATTAGTTGTGACTCACGTTGCGACTTGGCCACGTAGATGGGAGCCGCCATTGGGTACGCGAAGCCCGCTGACGTGGCAATGAGCGCCGCGGGATCACGGCCCGCGCCACGCGTCGTGGCAACGCCGGCGGCTCGCGCCACGTCGTCGTCTTCCTCGTAGGTGGATTCTAGCTCCAAGGCCGCGTCGCGGTCGTAGGAGGACTCGAGCGCGCTGCCGCTTCGGTCGTCGCCGCTACTTCGATCCTGCACGTCGTGCTGCCGCGGAGACTGCGGCGGAAACTGCGCGGACGCGCCGCCGTCGCGCGCATCCCGCGGCAAGTGGAACGCGGTGGCTCGTGGAGCCGCGGAGCTTGCTGTAAGGAGCAGGAGCCACGCGGCCATGGCGTTGAATGCGGCTCGACGAAGAGAGCCAGCCATCGCGGGGAACTGGCGGAGGGAGTATCAGTTTGTGGAGAGCGACGCGTGATCGACTCACAGGTGCTTTGCGGTAGGGCTACTACTGAGTCAACTCAAAGGTTAATTGTTGTTGAAACGAGCCGATGAAGGGGCCGATGGAGGGCCAAGTCTAACCCTCTCGCGTCGATTCGCGGGTTTAGATTGAAGGCGCTGAGTCAAGGTTACCAATTTGGTTCTAATTTCCTAGCTTTCCTGGGCGAAACCGCAACCCTCTTCACATGGCTCCGATCTAGCCTGAAAAACTTGCTGCATAATATTGCAGGACCCAGCCCCTACCGTCGGAGCAAGATCGTTTCTAGTGGGACAAGGATCTCGAAAGTCCTGAAGTCTATTCTCGAGGCGCCTCCAATTAGATTCCGCCTGAAGTCAGCGTGACTGTATGAGACCTGAGAAGGGGAAGGTCATAAGACTGCTAATGGTAAACTGATGTGGGACGACAGTCGATGGGCTGGCTAAAGAATATGGTGCAAGAAATGCGGGAAGCAATGCAGTTAATGGTCGAACGTGAAAGGAAGGTTTGTGTGCTGTGGTGCCGCGGTGGTGGTTCAAACACCAGTTGCTCTCGCCTGCTGTGTTTCTCTCGTTCCCCCACCACTCCACCTCCAGTTCTCTTCAATGCTGGCTGGAGAAACACCATCAGCGAATGCTGGTATCCAATCCACTGGCCCAGGCCGCTGAACCCCACACAGCACAGCACAGCACAACACAACCTCCCTCCCTCCCTGTTTCTGCCGGGCAGCCGACAAGGTGAAAGAGAAACGCGCTTCCGGTTCAGCGCTTCGGCTAGGAGGCAGGTGAAGAACGTGCGTGCTTGTCAGCGCGCCGATAAACAGTTCCCCATTCCACGCAAGTTCGGCTCTCCCCCTCCCTTTGTCCGAGCCGAACGTGCTGGTTGGGGCGTGAGGCGAAAGGGAAGTCTGCTGACCGAGCAAGTTGTCGGGTTGTGGGTTCTCGGCGGCGCACGACGACCCGTCTGCAGCACAACGACAGAGTTCCACTCCAAACCAGACCAAACCAAAGCCAAGCCACATCGTCAGGCGAGGCCGGTATGACTTGGTTGCCAGGGCTTGGGCATTGGCGAGGGTCACCGAAATCAAACAGAGTGTTCGCGAATATCATCACAATTATCGCTATTCTCGCTACAAGATATCCGATGGACATTGTCGAAACACGTGTTATAGTGAGATTTCTATAGAGAAGAACTTAGACACATGTGATGTGTATGGGTTATGTACAATCACATTCGACATAACTATTTTCGGAATTCTCTAGGGTTCGTTTGAACATCGACTTTGGCGTTTCAAATCCTCTTGGGACTTGCCCCACACAAACCCCCACAAACTTGCGTCTGCCGCACTATCTACTCTCTCACTCGCAATCCGCTGAAGTCTCTGCACAAAGTCTCCTGATTCTTGGTGCTTTTGCTTCTCGCCGCAATTTTTGTCGCACGATAGGGAGGTCTTTCAAATTCCTGACTCTAATTTGTTGACATTTCGAGCCGCGTTTAGGGAGATAATTAGAGTTTTAAACTCGTAGTTTGACTCTTTCGTTTCTTGTCACGCCAAGACGCGAGTCTAACTCAGCTCCGTTATGAAAAGCAATGTAGCTTGTCTCTATTCCGCATAACGCGGAAAGTAGCTTCGACCCTTTAATTCCGCGTAACGTTTCGTTCAGGACGCTAAGAACGATCCAGCGAGAGCCATTTTCACGAGTGGTAGATTCTTGTCATGTCGTAACCCTAGTTTCGCGAGCATGACCTGTGCGACTGAGCGAAGGGTCCTCGTAGTTCGCTCAGGTCTGCGAGTGATGTTCGTTCACGAGCATTCGCAGGAGGACGATAGGCCGAAACCGTGCTCCCAAACGTCCTTGCGACAATGCGCGTCGCCACAAAGCTGCGACGGGCCTTGCGACGAGCCTGCGACGGTCGCTTGCGACAGTACCGATCGCACGGTACCGAGCGACCGAGAGCAGACTGTCGCACGCAAAGATCCTGCCGCGTCGGAGCGTTGTCATTCGAAAAAAGACGTCCTATTGGCGGTAGAGACGCAAGTCGTGGATGCGCAGCTCGCGCGTGTTCCGGAGCCCGAAGCGCCACAGTCATCGCCACCCAACTCCCCGCATTCCCCGCTGGGAGAGGTTCAGCCCCTCGCAGACCGCGCAGTGCGATCGCGGGAAGAGCTTGAGAACGGAGAGCAGGAAGCAGGGTCGATACCCGGTGACTCGTGCCCTCCGCAATCCGGTTCCCCCGGGCCATCCCGTCAGCCCGACGCGGACGTCAGTCCGACGCTGGGGACGGGGCAGCCCGCGCCGTCTGCGCAGCAGCTTCCGCAATCGCTGCGGGTGGAGTCGCAGCAGCTCCCCCAGTCGCACCCGCACGCGCAGCCGAAGCAGCCGCACGAACAGGAGGAGGAGCAGCAGCGGGGGGGTTTGAAGGCAATGTCAGAGCCGATCGGCGTGGATATGGCGGGCTTCTCCCATTGGGAATCTCTCTCTGCGCCAATCCCGCCCCCGGCTTCCGCGGAAAGCGCAAGCCTTGTTACCCCCGCGCCGTTCGCGGGGTCCGCGGGACATGTAGGCAGAATGGGGAGCCTCGCGCTAAGCAACATGTTCGCACTACCCTCGTCCGCCCCCGCTGGTGCGCTCCCCCTGTCCGCGTCCGCTGATGCGCTCCCACAGACGGGGAAGAGGCGCGGGCGACCGCGGAAGTCGATCTCCCCCGCGCCTGGTAAGGCGGAAGGCGGTCGCGCCGAAGGGGGAAGCGCGGGGGTTGTGGAGAGGCGGATTACCCGCGGGATCGCCGCGCGGATGAGTCTGGAGAAACAGTTTGAGGGGGTCGCGGAGCCAGAGGGCGCGGAGGCGCGGGGGAAGGCCGCGGAGGGGGAGGGGGAGAAGACGAGGGGAGGGAAGAGAGGGGTAGCGGAAGCGGATGCGGTTAGGAGATCCAAGAGGCTGAGTAGAAAGAGGGGTTGGGACAGTGAGGAGGAGGAAGAAGAGGAAGAGGAGGAGGGGGAGGAAGAGGAAGGGGAGGAGGGGGGTGAGCGAGGAGAGGAAGAGGAAGGGGAGGAGGAGGGGGAGGAGGGGGAAGCGGAGGAAGGAGATGAGAACGGAGAGCAAGAGGAAGAAGACGGGGAGGAAGAGGAGGGGTGGGATGAGGAGGGAGGGGAAGAAGCAGAGGAAGAGGGGGAGGAAGCAGGTGAAGAACAGGAGCAAGCGCAGGATGAGGAGGAGGAAGAGCAGGAGGAGCAGGAGCAGGGGGAGGAGGAGGAGGCGGAGGGTTGGGAGGAGAGAGGAGGGGAGGGAGGCGACCAAGATGAGGGAGAAGCACAGGATGAGGACCAGGAGCAAGGGGAGGAAAGTGGGGACTTGGGAGGTATGGACAGGGAGGGTGTGGGCGCTGTTGGTGCTGCAGCAGAGGAGGATGGAGGTACAACTGGGGCTGTTACAGTTGGAATAGGTACAACTGGGGCTGTTACAGTTGGAATAGGTACAACTGGGGCTGTTACAGTTGGAATAGGTACAAGTGGGGCTGTTACAGTTGGGACAGGTACAACTTGGACTGTTATAGTTGGGACGGGTACTGCTGGGGAAGGCGGGGCAGGCATGGGGCAGACTTCTGAGGGTGCAGCCGGCGAGCATGATGGGGGAAGGAAGTCACGGGTTCCAGAGGGAAGAGCGGCAGAAGAGGAGGGACCCGTGGCAGTGGTGGAAGAGGGAAGGGAGGGGCTAGGGGAAAAGGGTGGAGACGCGGGGTTAGGGGACGAGGTATTGGGTCTGGGAGGAACGGTGGGGATGCACGAGGCAGGCGTGGAAGCAGGTCAGGAGGGGGCAGGGGAGGGCGAGGTGGGGGGAGCAGGTGGGGGCAGGATGCAGGTGCCAGTGAGGGAAGGGGGTAATGAGGCAGGAGGGGGGAATAAGACAGGAGAGGGGAGTGGGACAGTCGTGGAGTGTATGACAGGTGGTGATGGTAGTGGGGGTGTGGTGGCAGTGGCGGAGGGGGGTAATGAAGCAGGAGGAGGGAATCACACAGAGTGTGTGGACCGTTTGGCAGGTGGTGACGGGGGAGGGGGTGTGGTGGGTGTTCCTGGTGGTGAGGAAGGTGAGCAGAACGAGGTCAGCATGGTGGGGACAGAACGAGATGCTGCTACAAGAGGGGGTGACAGTAACGAGGGGGCTTGCCTGGCGCTCGTTACTGTGGAGAGGACACTCCGGGGGTTGGACGTCATACAGCAGGCTGTAGTAAATGAAGCAGAGCGTGTTATAGATAGTGCAACGGAGCATGCTATAGCGAGTACAATAGAGCCTGCAGTGGAGCCAGCAGAAGGGGGAGGAGAGGCAGTGCTGGGAGCAGGGGAGTGTGGTGAACTCTTGCTGACACGAGACGCTTCAGAGGAGGAGGATGAGGAGGCAGATGAAGCTGAGAAATGGACGGTATGGGGATTCGATCTCCGATTCGATCTCAAATCTAGGGAGCAGGAGGAGGAGTATTACTATCAATTCATGGATCAAATGAGGGCAGAAGGGGGTGTTGGTGGATATAATCTGCTCTTTCCTGGGTCTGCTGCTGGCCGCACCACCAACCTCTGGAAAAAACGGTTTCTCAGAGCCAATCCGCACCTGGTTCTGGGCTGGGATTACGTGCGGCAGCAGGATTTGAACCCGGATCTTCTGGGAGCAGCGATGGCAGGGCCAGGAGCTGAGGCAACACCAGTGAAGGCACTGGTTCCCTGGGCTACTGACAGTGCTGGGGTGATGGGAGGGGAAGGAGGGAACCAGAGTGGAAGGGGAGTGGGGGGATCAGGACTGCCTGTCACTCCGGTTGCTGCCTTGGGAAGGGAACAGGTGAGTCATTCTCACAAGGGGGTGGGGGGAGCAGCAGCCATGCACACGCCCATGCACCCGGAAGCACTCAGGCATTTGGTGCATCTGGGGGGTGTGCGCTCTGCCTCACCAGGCCTGGCAGG